AAAAATATATATATACAATGTGATTTCCGTTTGTGATCATGTGATCTTCGGTCAGGAGATCTTGCGATGCTTTTTAAAGCAAAGTTGGGGTTGATTTCGAGTTCACATACAAAGTAAATAGAATAGGCTAATTAAATTAGTCTATTTTAATGTAAGACAAAATATTTTTCGTCAGTGATAGAAATATGATTTAAGATGGTAGTGCAAGCAAGTTTAGTTTGAAAAAGTTTAAAAGTAAATAAGACACAATTAGACGATATTTGAATAAAATAATAATAAGAAGAGGAAATTTATTTGCAACTACTGATGGAGTGCTGAATGTTGCACGCACATGCAACGTTGTCAAGGTAACGTTTGGTCAGTCATTCCCTTCGCCAAGGAAGTTCCAAACGCTTATACGAGACAGTAATGCCCTACACCCTTCAATGAACACACTTCAAGGGCTCTGCCCTTCGAAGGGAGTAGGTCATAGGGATGCTCACTTCCGTTTGGAATTCGCCCACTATTTACATTTTAAACTGTATGTGAACACTCGCGTTACCAAGGCAACTACTGACGAGTTTGTATTATGAGCCCTGTTATCAACCCCACAGTGGAAAACAAAATGATATCCGTGCCGCCTGGCTCGGATCGGCACGGAATGGAGCAGTTAAGCAATGAGAATGATTTGGCCCGATGGTGGAAAAGCAGCTGATGCCATTTGCAGTAATTCCCAAGATTTGCTTATTTCCCAAGATTTCTTTGCAGAATCACGGGTAATGCATTTTTTCACAAGGGATTCTGCTGTTAGACATGATTAATTAACAAAATACGTTTAAATAATGTGGGCTTCAACATAATAATGCAGCATAAAACAACCTCGTAACTAACAGTCTTTTTTTTTTAAAGGTTTATAAGTTATTTTTAAGCATCAGTTCCACTATGGTAACCACTTCTGGAACCTAACTGTTGCACTCCATTGTGGTAAAATTTATTTTAAAAAACCCCGCCCATAAACATAACATATAAAAACAAAATGGACTGTGGTTGATCACGTTACATGTCAGTCAGGCGGTCACTTCCTGCCTAATAGAATAAGCTGCAAGGAGGACCAGACGTTTTGCCGCAAGTCAAAAGTCTGGCTATATAAGGCTAAATGTTCTGCTGGCGTAGCTTATGTATTGTTTAGAGTTTTGTAAATGATATAAATGGGTAAGTGAACACAGATGTATGGGTGTGTGGATGTGCAAAGTGTAACAATTCACAAGCTTGCACCGTTATTTCTCTCTTTTTACTGTATGTGTCTCATATTAATGTATTTCTTCCTTCAAACTCCCTTTCTCCCCCGTGTCTTGTGTGTGTATGTGTGTCTGATTCCTCTCTCATCTCTTCAACTGCTCACACCTACAGCGGAGGCAGCGGGTAATGTCTCTCTCTCTCTCTCTCTCTCTTTTTCTCTCTCTTTTGCTCTTAATGCTTGTCCTGGCAAATACACAGCTTTCCTCTCTTTCTTTTTTGGATTTGTCTCAATGTCTGTCTGCAAATCACCCATCTCTTCTATCACTCTGTCACTGTTTCTGTGTGGATGATCATTCAGTCCACGTAGTTCTGATGGGGGGGTTTGAGAGGTCCCTCACCTCTGCACCCGTCACTCTAACAGCACTTATCTGATGGACGCTTGTTTATGCTTGACAGTGTGTAACCACATCTGCTGAGAGGGCAGGATTCGGCACGGCACTGGAAATCTAGAGCGCTGCCCTCTGCCCTTGACACTGAGACAGAAAAGGAGAAGAGAGGACAGGGAAGACAATAAAGATGCAAAATATATAAAGAGAGAGATAAATATATATCTATATTTTATACAGTGAGGTCCAAAAGTGTGAGAATCTTTTTTTTTTTTTTATTTAAATGTGGAAATGAACAAAGTTGGGAGGATTTAGACAAATTTTAGACAAAGAGAAGTCACCTAAAATAAATAAATGTTGGCTTTGTATGTGGAACAGAACCAAATTTAAGACGTCATTCCTTCATGAAAGAAGCAGCGGTATCCAATTCATGCGTGCATCAGTATTACTTTACAATAACGTTTAATTTGTTGATATTAGTTAATGATATTAATCATTTGATAGCATAAATAACAATATATTTTACTGCATTTACTCATTTATGTTTATTTGCTTATATATACTACCATTCAAAAGTTTGGGGTCAGTAAGATTTTTTTTCATTAAGAAGTTAATAGTTTTATTCTGCTTGGATGCATTAAATTGATTAAAAGTGACAGTTTTTTTTTTATTTTTATTTTAATATTTCACAGTATTACTGTTTTTACTGTATGTTGTAAAATAAATACTGGATGAGCATAAGATACATTTCTATTCAAATTTTTACTCAAACCTTAAAAGCTGACAAAATCAATTTCAATTACAAAAATTTTGTATTAATTTTGAAAAACAAAATAAATAATCACTTTTAGACCCCACTGTATGTGATTCTAAGAAAAAGGCATCATTACATAAATTTGTTTTGCAGTGATATAAATCAGTGTACAACCACACTTTCACATAGTTTAGTCTTCAATGTACAACTTTTGCATTTAGCTTGCTGGTCACTAGCTGCACATCTGCCGTGCAACAGCTGTACACACATCTGGTGGATGGCTGTGCTTGGGTACCACAAGAGCGACGTGCAAATTGTCAAAATGTAGGGCAGAAAGTCTTCAGACTGACTAGGTTCATGGTGACACGGTTCTTCACCCTACAGAGCCAGGGCTGATTGGTAGAAGCTCCTCCTCTCTGGAGTGACTGTGTTTCCAGGTCCTTTTATATGTTGTGTTTGCCAACGGACAACCCCACAAACAAGAAAGAAAGAGGTTTGGCTGGGCATTCTGCAGCAGGGATGCCTGAATCTGCTCTGTATGTTTCATGCTGTCGTCATGGCAATGTAATGAAACCAGCCAGTGTACCTTGGGAAAAGAGGTACAGTGGTGGTTCCAGCATGGGCTGAGACAGTACAGTGGATATTACATCCACTGATCTAGTTTTCAGTACAGCATGAGCCACACCAGCGAGTGTGTGTGTTGTGAGATTGACTGTGTGCATTTTAGTATGTGTCTATCCTAAGTGCTGTGAAATGGGCTTGATTGTCTGGCTACAACAGGCTACATTCTCAGTGAGGAGACACAGATGAGATTCCTGATTAGCTGGGAGTAAATGTGTGGATGTAGCAGGCATGTTTCATTGTTTTAACAGCCTGAGCTACTAACTCACCCCTAAATTGTGTGTGTGCAAGACCAATTACCCATGTAGCCTAACACTTCCTGCCATTTCACTTTCTAACTCACTGGTGTGTGTGTGTATTTGCAGAGGAAGCAGCAAGGGGAAAGACATCAGTACTATCAAGTCCCTGCGTGTGCTCCGAGTACTACGGCCTCTGAAAACCATCAAGCGTCTGCCCAAGCTGAAGGTACCTCTGTGTTTGGCTGTTTTTGTTCCTCCTTGTGTTGACTGAGTTTTGCCTGTTTACAGAGGATGGTTGTGTTTTTTCACTACATGGGCTTTATTTTTCTGTGTAATCTGTTTCTGGCTGTGTTTGACCAGACTGTTTTTAATTTGTTTTGTCTGGTTTTCAGACCTTCTTTGAATTTGTGTATTTATTTATTTAGTCTTTGGCTGTGTTTCTTTAGTGTTTTCACATTTGTTTATTCATTTCTGTTTTTATCTGGGGTTTTTTTGTATGTAAATACAGTTAATCTATTTTTGTATATTTTGATGCTGTTTTGTTTTATCTAAGGATTGTGTTTTTTTCCATTTTCTTTTGTCTCTTGTCTCTGGCTCTTTTTTTTTTGCTGCATTTCAGGAATTTGTTTTATTTTGTGTTTTTGATTTGTTTAGTTTGTTTGATTGGTTTGCTATAACTCGGTTTCTATTTTTATGATCATTTATTAGTTTTATTTAAATGTGTTTGTAAAGTTTTGATGCTATTTTGTTATATCTTATAAGGTTTGTGTTTGGCTGTCGGGCTATAATTTAATTTCTGTTGTTCATTCTCTGTGTTTTTTCAGGCTGTTTTTTGATTGTTTTATTGCTGCATTTTAGGGTATTTAATTTATTTGTTTGGTTTGTTTCAGTTGGCTAATTCTATTTTTATGCATATTTATCAGCCTTATTCAGTTGTATTTTTACATTTTGAAGATATGTTGGTTTGTGTTTTGTCTTATAAGGCTGAGATTGTGTTCTGCATTTGAATTTGTCTCTTCTCTGTTTTGTCTATTTTCAGGCTGTCTTTGACTGTGTGGTGAACTCTCTGAAGAATGTGTTTAACATCCTCATTGTCTACATGCTGTTCATGTTCATCTTTGCTGTGGTGGCAGTGCAGCTCTTCAAAGGCCGTTTCTTCTACTGTACCGATGAATCCAAGGAGTTGGAGCGTGACTGCAGGTGAGACAAAACACACACACACAAACACACTGATGAACAGACACATTGGCATGTTATTCTAAAAGCATTTTGTTGTTAGGGGCGAGTATCTTGTCTATGAAAAAGATAACGAAGTGCGGGCGCAGAAGCGGGAATGGAAGAAATACGATTTCCACTATGACAATGTGCTCTGGGCCCTTCTCACCCTCTTCACCGTTTCTACGGGAGAGGGGTGGCCACAGTATGTATACATCTAAATACCTAACCTAATTTCCAGTGTATGTACCCAATGTTTTAAGCCAATTGTGAAATTGCTTCTGTTTTCTAATGTAATGTTTTCACTACAAATTACAATTTGAGTAAAGTAGAAGTTGTTTTACATAGCATATCTAAGGACTTGCTACAGTTACCTAAAGGATTTGACATTATCAATGCCTCATATTTTTGCCACTCTCCAGGGTGCTGAAACATTCAGTGGATGCGACCTACGAGAATCAGGGCCCGAGCCCAGGTTACCGGATGGAAATGTCCATCTTTTACGTGGTGTACTTCGTGGTCTTCCCCTTCTTCTTCGTCAACATCTTCGTGGCTCTTATCATCATTACTTTCCAGGAGCAAGGAGACAAAATGATGGAGGATTATAGCCTGGAAAAGAATGAGGTGAAGGACGTATCAAATGGATGGTTTTTAAGCCAAATTATCTTTCTTTATGCATAGCGCTGGCATTGGTCTCATTTATATGGTGTATTATCCAATAATAATACGTATCTGTTTTGTTTTCAGAGAGCCTGCATAGACTTCGCCATCAATGCTAAACCGCTCACGCGCCACATGCCTCAGAACAAACAAACATTCCAGTACCGCATGTGGGAGTTTGTGGTGTCTCCTCCATTTGAATACACCATCATGGCCTTGATTGCCCTCAACACCATTGTCCTTATGATGAAGGTGTGGCAGTATTTCACTTTAGTACATCTGGCTTTATATATTTTGAGAACCAGACTTCCAATGGATAGTAAATGTGCTTTTAAAAGATTGTGATGGTAACTAACAATTACAGAGTTTATAGTCTCTAGCATTGTTAGTTTACCAGCACATTCGGCAAATAAACTAAAGTCCTGAAAAAAAAAGATTTTTCTGTACTGATGGTCTACAAAGTTAGCACTTTTTTGCAGTCCATTTACCAACATTTGAGACCTTTCTAAATAAGGTTTAATACAGTTTAAATATGTTGTGTTTGTTTAGTATGATGGAGCATCAGATGCCTATGAAGCTGTGCTAGCCAACCTGAACATGGTGTTCACCTCACTTTTCTCCATGGAGTGCATATTAAAGATCATTGCCTTTGGAGTTCTGGTGAGTCTACAGTACAGTTTTCTCATGCTTAAGTGTATGTGTGTGCGTGTAGGGTCCAAAATCGAAACGGTCTCATTTTGAGAGACACAATTACACTCATTTACATACAAAAATCACATTGTCAGATTCAAACTCAGCATTGCACAAGCAGATTTATGAACAGATCAAAGCATGAGAGAGAGAGATCAAAGAGGTTGCGTTCTGAAGTAGATGGCAAAAGGTTTGGGACATGGAAGCGCAGGACACGAAGGAAATGGTTGTAGTCAGCTCAAAGTCATGCCAGTAAGAGACGTACATGAAGATAGTGAGCTAGAGGGCACACTGAAGTGTTTAAGAGTGGAAGATGGAAAAAGAAGGACAGATTTCGAGCAAAATTAAGACGACGGGTATGGTGAGTGGTTGATGGAAAGAGTTACGCACACGCACACACACACACACACATGTCTGGTTTGCTATCCTTGTGGGGACATCCCATAGGCGTAATGGTTTTTCTACTGTACCGACCGTATATTCTATTGCCCTACACCAACCCTACCCCTAAACCTACCCCTCACAGGAAACTTTCTGCATTTTTAGATTTTCAAAAAACTTCATTCTGTGTGATTTATTAGCTTGTTTACCCGTGGAGACCTCAATTTAGGTCCCCACCATGACACGAGTCCCCATGAGTCTGTGTGTATTCAGGTTTAAGTCCCCACCAGAATAGAAAAACAGGTACACACACACACACACACACACTTTGCACTGGTGCCCCTGTTCCCATGCAGCTGGTTTACTGAATGGGCCTAATGCACTGTTTTCCTGCAGGTACTCACTTGGCAGCTCACAAAAAGGCCATCATGTTCAGCATCTGGACCACTAGTCTTCTAGGCATCCACCCTTTTTGTACACAGGGTGAGGGAGAGCAAAACTCAATGAAGGAATAAGGGCTAAAAGGGGGAAAGGAGACGTTTCATTAGCACCAGAGAGTGAAAATTAATTGTTTGCTCCTTTCTCTGTCGGCGGGTCACTGAGTGTGTGTGTGTGTGTGTGTGCTAAGCGTAATCCTCCTTTAGCCCGACTGACAAACGCATCTATGTCTTTTTTACGACAGAACTACTTCAAAGACGCCTGGAACATCTTCGACTGTGTGACTGTACTTGGCAGCATCACTGATATTTTAGTCACAGAGCTAGGGGTAAGTGTGTAGCAGAAGGGCTGCCATCTGTGAGTGTGTATGTGCGTGTTTGTTTGTGTATCCTGTCTGTACGCTTGTGTGTATTTCCGTATGTGATTGAGAGACTCTCAGCAGGATCTTCTCTTGCTCACTGAGGTGTAAGGAACTCCTAAAAGTCTTATATAATCGTCCCAGTTGGTGTGTGAGGCAGATCAGTGAGCCAGTGGTGCTCAGTGGCGGCGGGGTTCTGTTACTCTTCCAGCTTTGTCATTTATCCCCGAGCCAGATCAAACTGACCTACCAGTAAAATCAATGTTCTCAAATGTTAACATGTATTCATAATGCAACAAACAATGATGGCCATCTCAAAAAAATTTGTAAAACATGTTAGTGTTTGTGTATGTGTTTTATTTTTCTTGGTTTCACAGCAGATCATCAGCACTTTAAAGACCCCATGGAATCAAAATTGACCATAAATTAGTCAAATCTACACATTCAAAAAGTACTGTTCTTTTCTAGGAAAACAGGCCAAAAATATTGACTACTCATGAGAATGTCCCGTCCTCCAAATACGACTAGCAAATCATGGTTCATGGCTGTAATGTAAATAAAGTCTGTTGCCTGTTTAATAATAATATAAAAAAAGAGAGACAAGCCCTTAAAAATGTCTGGCCCAAACTACCTGTTGAAATAGAAAGTTAACATAGGAAAGAAAACTGCACTAATCAAAGCATGGTCTTTAAAAAT